AAAATTAAAAGAAAAAGGCAGCCTTTCTACCAGGAAATAACTTCACCAAAACTAAATCTACAAGACTTAATAGTGTTTTATTAACCTGTAAAGATTGCAGCAATAAAGAAGTAACTACAGTTAATAGGAAGGAATTTTTTTAAAAACACTAAGAATGAATTTTGTTAAACAATTTGCTATTTCTCAAAAATGTATTCCCCCAAAAGGGAATTCTGTAACAAAATAAGTTTGGAAAATCCTTTTCACTCCAGAGGTTTGCCACAGTAGGTCAACATACACAATGACTATTAAGATCTCTGATAAGTCTCATAGCAAATAAATATAACTTACTTGGTCTAGTATTATACAAACTATTTTGACTTCAAAACCTGTGTCTTATAGTTGTTATAGTGTACTTATCAATATTCTAAGATTAAAAAGAAGTTCCTCAGGATAATGATCCATAAAAAATACAAATGACAGACACATTTTTAACATTTATCAGCATCAATTTGAAGAAAACTCAAAAATTGGATAATTATTCAATTCAAAAATCAAGGTAAGGTAGAAGATGGTTCAACTCTGCTGTGTTTGGTTGGTTGGTTTTTATGGGGGTAGGGGAGTAAGAGGAGTCCCTTATTTTAAAAAAGGAGACCTGCTCATTAAGTTCTTTATGTGACAATCTAAACATCAGACATAAAAGAGTGTGCCAGAAGAGGGAGCCATTTCTCCACAACATCTGGCACATATTTTGAAATCAAACTACAAATAAGTGATGACATTTAATCAATGTCATTTCAAAAATATCCAAAAAAACTTCAACTGAAATACAAATTAAATTATTAGTGAAAATACTTGGGAATGATATTGGACCAAATTACACTATTATATCATACATATAATTATAATGCACCAATAAAATATGGAAAAAATAAGAATAAAATTATTGTTATCTACCTTTTAAATTAATACAATAATAGAAGAAAAAAGCTTTCTCAGTTATAACATCTGATGCTACCATGATAACATTCTGTAGACCAGTTCCTAAGTAGTTGAGGAGGATACAGCAGGCACAACTGGTCAAAATGAAAATTTTCTAACAAGGCAGGCAATGTTTCAAAGATGGCACAAACTGTTTTACTAGCCTAACGCTGTGAATGGCCCCAATGTAAATTCAATAAATGTTACTTTCTTCTCAGCAGTTCTACACACAAACAGGTCTAACCGATCAGATCAGATTTAGTAACAGCCATTATTAAAATAGTTAACGTTCTGACATTAGTTACCTGAGAACCTAGATAAAATAAAAATAAGATTTAGGGCACTGAATTGGGGGAAGGATGGAAGAAACTAGCTACAGTTTTCATATTTTCACAGTTCTTATATAGTAAGTGTTACTTTAGGGTAGAGTGAAAGAACAGAAATCTCATTTATTTCTTGACAAAAAACTCCTGTTCTAATAAACTTTTAAAAATATTCCTTATCATCTAGGACACAGGAACACAATAAATGTCTGAATGAATATCCGAATGAAATAGAGATGGAAGAAAAACTAGGACATACGTATAATAAATTATAAATAACCACAAATCTTTCCCAATGCTTATACCTGTGAAATTGACTATGTCACTCCTATCATCAAGAAGTAAAGCGTAAGAATTATACCCCATCTGATTCAAATGTAAAAAATAAATAAATAAATAAACAAAGGCCAAAAAAAAAAAAAAATAAGCATAGGGACTGGGATTGTGGCTCAGCGGTAGAGTGCTCGCCTAGCATGTGAGAGGCCCTGGGTTCGATTCTCAGCACCACATAAACACAAATAAACAAAATAAAGGTATTGGGTCCAACTACAACTAAAATAGATTTCAAGTCCAAAGCAAGGTCATGAGTTCAAACCTCAGTACAGAAAGAAAAAACAAAAGGAATAAAAAAAGGAGAGAAAGAAAAGAAGGAAGGAAGGAATGGAGAGGAGAATAAGAAGAAAAAAAAAATGGAGTGTATTTCCCTATTAATTTCTACAAATCTGGCTGCCATGACTTCCTTTGAATAAATCCAACTCAAGAGAAAGATTGTACACTGGGAATCACACTCTGTGATACCCAACACCATGTGAATGAGCCCAGAAGAACCTCATTTAACCTAGATAATGAGATAAAAATATCCATAACCCAGCTAAGAAATACTTTCAGGCAACCTTCAAGATTACAGATTAAGATGGAAAATAGGATTACACAAGTAAAAAGAATTCCAAAACCAAGGACTAAAAACAGGAATATCTTGATCCTTTGTTAGGGTTGTATGTGAGTGTGTGTACATTTATATTTTATATAAGTATCTCACATTAACATGAATTCAAGGAAAGCCAGGTATAGTGGTGCACACCTGTAATCCTAGCAACTCAGGTGGCTGAAGCGGGACAATTCTAAGTTTGAGGCCAGCCCCAACAACTCTGTGAAATTCTGTCTCAAAATTAAAAAAAAAAAAAAAAAAAAAAAATTAAAATAAAAAACAAGATCTGAGAAGAGAATCATGAGTTCAAAGCCAGTCTCAGCAACTTATCAGGGCCCTAAACAACTCATAAAGACCATGTCTCCAAAAAGGGATGGGGATGTGGCTCAGTGATTAAACGCCCTGGGTTCAATCCCTCATATTTCCCTGTCCACCCCCCCTCAAAAAAAAAAAAAAAAACACAAAAACAGAAGGGCTGGGGATGCAGCTCAGGTGTAAAGCACTCCTGGGTTCAATTCCCCCATACCAAAAAAAATAAAAATAAAAAACCATGTATTTAAGAACAAAAGTGAGTATTTGTGAAAACAACTAAAGTAATATAGAGATAAATATTATTGCTATAAAGATCATAGATATGAATAATTTATCAGCTTTTTGTTACCACAGAATTTAGGGCAAACCATTTTGGTTGCCTGATTTTAATTAAAACAACAACAACAAATAAAAACAAAAAAACAAAAAAAAAAACAAACAGAAAACTGAAAAGTAGGCTTATGACAATACACACTTAGCATGAACTTGGTTTGGGTTCCACAAGCCATTAGTAGCCAGGGCCTTCGCTGCACAATCTTGGAGATGTCATTCACATCATTGTGAATGATTTCAGTACCTAACTTCTTTTTTTTTTTTTTTTTTTTTTTCAGTACCTAACTTCTAACATTACAAACAGCAGTCTTGTTGGTGGTAGTGATTCTCTGTGGGTCTGATTCTAACTTAACCACACGAAAAACTATCTTGAAAATTCAACTGTTACTTAGAACATTCCAAGCTTCACTACTTATATGTTAAAAAATTAAAATGAGAAGACACAAAATATATATTGTAACATTATTAGAGGTACTTTAATTCATTTTTAAAGTGCTGATTAATTTCAAATATCCTCATTACCATTATCATGAATTTCTCTAATGCTACTAAATGTATTTTTCAGACTAACATTAAATAAGAATAAAGATCAGATTCACAACCTTCTTTTTAAAAATTTTTTTAAATTTTTTTATAGTTGTCAATGGACCTTTATTTTATTTATTTATATGTGGTGCTGAGATTTGAACCCAGTATCTCATACATGCTAGGCAAGGTTCTACCACTGAGCTACAACCCTAGCCTCCACAACCTTCCTAACAACTCCACTCACACATTCTTTGAGAAGAAACAACTGGCTCAAAGTCACTTAGCGCTAGATTATCTGTCAATTAATTATTTTATTTGTTTCTTCATTGCTAAAACTATAATAAACATTAAATGAGTTATTACATATAGAATGCCTAGAACAGTCATTGACACAGTCAGGATTTAATAAATGGCAGAAAGTATTACTATAAGCTAGGCCTGATTCTGCCACCCAACCCAGGTGAAATTTCATACAAGCTACTAAACATTCTGGAATTCTACAAAATGACCTGCCTAATATTTAAAAATACTTAAATTCCAGTTCTCAAATATGTTACACTAACAAATAATTTCCCCATACACACATTAAAACTTTAAATACTGCTATATTTTCCAGGCTACTTGGTAACTACAGAATATACACCAAGCATACATTAGGAGTAGGGATCCTGATATGTGTGGGTGTGACTGAACATCCAAAGTATCATTTAAAGTGGAGACTACATCTTGAACATCAATCAACAAAAAGAATATACTGAAAATAAGGAAAAGAGCCATGAGTGAAATTTTGTTCTGCTGGCACTGCTGACAAATGGAAAAAGAATGAAGTAATTTCTCTCTCTGTTAGCTTATCTGTGAGTAGAGAGAGAGAGTACTAAATACTGAGTAAGACCCCTGAGATTTTCTTTACATTTTTTCCTTCTTCTAAACTAGAATGTTGTCCACAATTACTGTTTTTGAATACCATGGACTGCAGTACCAATAAATGTAAGAATTGGCCAATCTCCTAGCATAAACAAGCCTAATCTGAGGACGGGTGACAATGGCAATGGCTTTTAGATGGGCCCACATTCACTTTCAAGAACCAATAAACTCAATCGTCTCTGCTTTCTAGAATAATGTTATACACTATAGAGAAGGGCAGGAAATGGAAATTAGTTCAATACATGCACAATTTTCTCACATAATTACAATAAGTAGTGGTTACTTTGTTCACAATATATTTAATAGCCAACATTTATTTAGCACCCACTAATAGATCCAGTACTAAGCAGTTGAAAGATATTATAAAGAAAAAGACAATTTTAGGTAGGAAAACTATTTTAAGGACTAGGAAAATACATCATTAAATTCATTTCACTAAGTCCAAGATAAATTCTTGCAAGAAAAAAAAGAGGACAATAGAATTATTTCATTAGTTATCTTTAAAACACATGTGTAGAATCTGAAATTTAAAATGTTTCACATCAAGAAAATATTCTTAATACTCTCAAGTTTTCATTATATTTTTATCTTTTTATTTCAAACCTACAGCAAAATTAGGAACAAAGAACAGAAGTTTGCCCCCCCAAAAAAATTAAAAATTATTAAAAAGAAATAAAACTAAAACCTCTTACCTGAGCATGAAAATTGGACATAGTTGTTGTCTCTATATCTTTCTTTCCCAATATCTCCATTTTCACTGGTGAATTGGGAAAATTAAATGAAAAGTAGTCTAAAAAGTCAGGTAAATAAGTAGCTGCCCCATGAACAATACCCATTACATAAAAAGCGGCAGAGTTTTCATTTTCACTGAACACTAGACCCACAAACTCTTCTGCAAACCTTTCCATCTCCATAGGAGACAGGTGGGAGAGTTCATTGCTGTAAGCATGGATAACTGATGCACCTCCATTAGGCTGGTGCTCAATATGAATGAGCTGTTTGAACTCCAAAGTGTCCAATCTTTTGAGGATATTCTGAACTCGTGGCTCTTTTAATGAGACAAACGGAAACTCACTGTTCTCTGGAATTTTGGAGTCATAATTCTTGGTATCCAAATTCTTTCCAATGTAATCCTTTAAGTTATCATTTAAGATGCCTTTGGCTTCTTGATCTTCAACATCAGATAGCAATCCTGAGCAAATAGTCTGAATAGATTTGCTATACATTTTTGGACGCTTCCGTTTTTCATTCTCTTTGTGTTTCTTTTTCTTTTTCTTCTTTACCTTTTTAATTTGTAAGTCTTCTACATTTGTTTTTTGTTTCTCCTTCCCACCTGTAGGGAAAAAATATTTTTGAAACTCCATATTTTACTTATTTAAAGAAACATGCTTTAGAAACTGTTTTGTAATAAATAAGAAGTTTACATCTGAAAATTTACTCAGAATTAGTTTTCTATTTAGGACTTATTTTAAACAGTGTTGACAATCGAAATTTAGTTGATTTCTCTCATTCTCTCTTTCTCTACATACACACACATAACCCATACATACACTATACAGAGGAAGGGTTAGGACCAAATTACAACTAATGATGTGGGACATCCTTTGGAAACACAGCAGATGCTCAATCAGTGTTTACTGCAATAATGAAGTGAATAAATGTTTCAGAAAGTATAATCTTCAAATCTTAAGGACAAAACTCAAAAATGAAAAGTTAAACAATGCTAAAATTAATAATACCATCCAGATATTTCCTGTTATATACATTACTAATTTTACTTTATCTCCACTCTTAAAAATTGTATCCAGATGCCAAGGAAATTTATAAATCAACAAAGTGGAAAATAACAGCATAAGTATAACAGCAATTCCTTAACTTTTTGTTTACTCTTTAGTAAACCACTCTTTGTCTAAAATGAGTTATTTTAAATCTACCAAATTTTACAAAGTTCCAAGTGAAGATCCAACAAAGTGCCACAAAGGAGATGACAAAATGATCTCTCATATCCTAAGCTCAAGGGCCATTCATGTGCTAGTAAAGAGATAAATAAAAAGGTGAATGAGAAAGAGTGGTACCTTACAAGCTGCATAGAAAGGAGTTTCTATAAACAAAAGCAAGTGGACTCTGGGCTCAGAAATTCAAGGGACAAAAAAGTAATTCACACAGTTACAGAATCTAAGTATACATAAAAAGCATTTAACATTATCAGAGTATATCCATTTCTGTATAATAAGAAGAAAAACAAAAAAAATAAAATAAAATAAAACAACCTTACAAGAAAATATTGTTTCCCAACATGGGGAAAAATACATTAAGCTAACAGTTGGGAAATGACATTATTTCCATCTATTAACTTTGTTTTGTTTTTTTGTGTGTGTGGTGCTGGGAATTGAACCCAGGGCCTTATGCATGTGAGGCAAGCACTCTACCAACTGAGATATATCCTCAGCCCTATTAACTTTGTTTTTACAAATAAGCTGCCATGCATAAAATTCTCCCCTCTTGCCTCTTCACATAAATTTTTCCACCTTCACATCTCTTATTTCTTCCTGTTTTCAGTGAGACGTTCTATTTTCATAAGTAACTCTCTCCTACCAAATCCAAAAAACCTTGCTTAGTAAATTTCTCCCTTCTTTTGACCACCAAACTTCTCATAAAGAACCATCTATGTCCAGTGTCTTTCCTTTATTACCTTAGCATTCTTATTGCTTAACTTCTGCTTATTTCTGGTTCTACTTTAGTCTACCCAAACTTGCTTTTCCAAAATTTCCAAAGAGCAAATCCAGCATTTTCTCATATCATCTTCCTGATCTTTGTGTGATTTGACAGAATTATCCAGTATGTCCTTGATTACTTTGAACTTTCTTGATACCACTGTCCTAATTTACAATCTAGCAGTCATCTGACTGTCTCTCATCCTGAATGCCAGCAGCACATTAATCTTTCCATATTTTCTATATATTGCTTTGATCATGTTCATCCCTTGGTATAACTGCTTTCAGGGGGTCTCAATGCCAAACTATGAAGCAGTTTCCTCTTCAGTCTGGAATTCAAAGATGAGGCCCTCAAGAACTTCATGCTCACATGAAACTGCACTACTCACAATCTCTTATAAAACATATCTAGTCCTAGGTTTTCTTTCTAATCCTAACAAAAGCATTTCCTCTCCTTAAAATAACCTTTGCCTTGCTCAGTACATACACTGAATTATTTCTCATCCGTCCTTTAAAGAAATCTCTTACATCGTTTCCTTCATGTTGATTTCCCTCATTTCTTCAGTTAGAACTGAAATTACTCCTAAATCATATAAGAAGTTATTTATTTCACTCGTAGGATATGTGTACAACACATGTTCCTCATGACATTGTATGAGTAAAACAATGACTTTTCTATGAATTCAGAGTGATACTAAAAAGGTACTGATATTTCTTTTCCATCATTGTATTCCACAAACCATCTAATATAGAGCTACACATAAACACATGACAAATCTATGAATTAAAAGAACTATCTCGCCAAAGATTATTTGAAGTTTACAGTTTTTTCCTTGCCTCCCTTTCAATCAAGTTCTTCCACATATAAATTCCACTAAATCTTAAGCCTGGAGACAAGAAAAATCATCTCAAATTGACAGAAAGTCCATAAAAGGGAAGTTTTGTTAATAAAAAAAAAAAAAGGTAACTTTTAAAAATTCAAAGAGATGCTTCCTAAGTATGCAATGAAGAACAAAATGAGTATCACCATGAAAAGAAAAAATAGAAATCTGTCAACATTATTTATTTCATAGATTTATGAAATCATGAAATGCAAAGTTAATTTCTAAAGTCTATAAGCAGTTAAGAAATATATTTGAATAATGTTAACAAATTCATCCTTGCTGTCTTAAGTACAAACTATCAAAACATCAGCTTCCAGTTAATATCTTAACAAAATTAATAACAAAAAAATCAAATCATAATAACCCTAATGAAAGATAAAAAGAAGTTTAGATACATAAGTAAAATACAAATAAATCAAGAAAAATAGACAGCAATGAAACAAAAAGTAGAATTTAAAAACATTTAAAGGAGACAGACATAATTAACAGCTTACTAAACCCCACAACTAAAAATACATATAAAATTGCACAAATTAAATAGTTTGCCAAAATAAAACTTATTAAAATGGAAACACTTAATATTCAACTAAATTTACACCTACAGATTTTAAAAAAGAAAAGAAAATACCTGATCACTAGAACACGTTATTTTGAAATAAAATAGGCAAAAAATAAAGAGAAAATAGACACAACACTTAATCTATTTCTTATCTGTGAGGATGAACCAAAAAAGAAATACTATAATAAAAACCAAAAAATGCAAACTAATAAGGAATCTAGTGAAAGATTCTTACATTAAGCACAAAGGAGTTAAATTTCCATGGCAAATTACTTTGCAATTAAATATTACAGTGAGGAGTTTGAAGAAGAGAGAATATACCTGAGATTGTGTGCTTGTAAAGTTGGCCCTTGGCTGGTATTTAGAAACTTGTATTTTTAAAGGATTCTCACCATTCCTGGTAACAGCAGTTTACTGTCCCTAAAATATTTGTACAAACAATATGGGGTATATTGAACACTCGTTTTCCTTCTGGAAGTCTAGAATTTTGTTTATGCTAGGCAGATGGTGCCTCTATGACCAACTCCCAATAAAACCCTGGGCACTGACTCTTTAATGATCTTTCCTGGTAGACAACATTTCACATGTGTGGTTATAATTCACTGCTCAATGAATTAAATGCATCCTGTGTGACTTCTTTGAGCATACTCTTGGAAACCTACACAAGTTTCCTGCAGGCATTGTCCCATATGCTGTTTTTCTTTACTGATTTTACTTTGTATCCTTTCACTATAATAAATCATAGCCATGAGTACAGCTATATGCTGAGTTCTGTGAGTCCTCCCAGCAAATAGAATCTACAGGTAAGTTTGGGGAATCCCCAATGGACATAGGTATTCTTTGCATTAAACAAAACTGGGGCTTTATCGTTTGCTATTATATAATCTCTTACTCATTTTTTGTCTCTACATATGAAAGGCATCAGATACATATGTAGAAAATTCTAAAATACTTTGAGAAAATAGGATCACCTTAAATATCAATGTTCTCTTGTACTAAAAAGTATTTCAAGTACACATTATAAATCTATAATTCTTCAAACAAAAACAACAAATCAGACCCAATAAAGGTCACTGGTAAGTACTTACAGCAGAAAGAATGAAACTGTTCTCTAAGTAAACTTAACTCTAAAAAAATATGAGATTAAAAGTATAAGGTTTATGGAAACACACACATGCACCAGAGCCACAGGCACATGCACATCATAGACCACGAATATACACACAAAGAACTACAAACACACATTCATAATGTACCATAAACATACATGCACACACAGAGAACCACAGAAACAGCTAGAAAAGAGAGAACAAACTAAGCAAAACAATCAAAAACAGAAATGCAGACACACAGCCAGTGAAAAAATGAAACTCATACATAGATAGAAAGAACGACACACAAACAGTACAAATACAGCATGTACTTTTAATGAACAGTTATGAAAAATTACTTTAAAGATCAAAATCACTTTAAAAATAAAATTCACTAATATTAATTCCTACTACCAACTTTAGCATACTTTTGCATTTAAAACAATGAAAAATACACATTACCCAGAAAACTGGATCATATTTCAAATGTGATGTAGGAAATAACATATACAACTCCATTGTACATAGAAAACAAAGTAGTAATTAGCTTAGCAATTTTCAACCTTTGGTCTTTGGAAAACAACTTTGATTTTTCACACTACAATGCTGTCACTCCTTCTGCCATAGCTAACCTACCTGTGATTTTTTTTTTTTCCTTATACTAGGGATTGAACTCAGGGATACTCAACCACTGAGCCATATACCCAGCCCTATTTTGTATTTTATTTAGAGACAGGGTCTCACTGACTTGCTAGCACCTCGCCGTTTTTGAGGCTGGTTTTGAACTCATGATTCTCCTGTCTCAGCCTCCCAAGCTGCTGGGATTATAGGTGTGCGCCAAGGCCCCAGCTACCTATGATCTTGAATACACTACCATTATACTTGAACACTGGCTTTTTTTAACCCCCATTCTTCCTTCTCAGAGAACCTCATCGAGCTTCTCTGACACACTACAATAATAAAATTTATTCCCCAAAATGCTATAATCATAATATGTATGTTCTCACAATTCAGCCTTAAGAAACCAGATAAAAGGCCAGGGTTGTGGCTCAGTGGTAGAGCGCTTGCCTGGCATGCGTAGGGCCCTGAGTTCGATCACGGGAATCACATAAAAATAAACAAATAAAATAAAGATATTGTGTCCATCTACAACTATAAAAATATTTTTAAAAGAAAAGGAAAAAAACAGATAAAAATGACTGGAACACATACATATACTAAAATGCAATAGTTGGTAAACTTCAGTATAAAAAATGAGACCCACTACATAAGTTTCTTTTTTAAAAATTTTTTTATTTGTTCTTTTTAGATATACATGACAGTAGAGTGTATTTTAACATTCTTACACGGAGTATAACTTATTCTAATTAGGATTTCATTCTTATGGTTGTACATCACATGGGCCCACTAAATAAGCTTTTTTTTCAAATTCATTTGTTCTTTTAAGCTATTTCTATTAAGAGCAAATAATTCCATTTATCAATAAAAAGGATTTATGAAGATTTTTGCATTGAAAACATTTTAGCATGTATACAATTATATATTTTTATACACATGCATTTATTTACTTTCATATAAAACACAATTTTTAACAAAAACCTTCAGGAAATGAGATTAATATGAAATAGTTATCATTTATATTTTCAACCACTACCATCAAACAATGCCTGTGTGTTACAGCTTGCATCATTAATGTTACCAGAACATTTTAAGAGAAGAGCAAAAGCTGGAGACCAAAAAGGAAATAGGGCACATGGTATGAAATGATAGCACATTGCCCCATAAAACTGATTCTGTTGTTACTCCAGAATACCAAAGACAAAAAAATGTCCTTTCCAGACCAGAGGCTCACTTGGGAAATGGCCACACATGCTGAGCAAATTGTTTTTGCTGGAAAATAACAATAGCTAACATTTACTCAGTACTTACAATAGGATAGTCACTATTTTCCAAATGAATCATGTTTTTATTCATTTAATTATCTATGTACTTCACATTGAGGAGAGGACATAGTTTTAGTTTTGTTGCTTCTTTTAAATATACTTATAAGATTCATATTCACTTACTGAATACCTGGGGCCAGATATTATACTCAGCATTTATCTCACAGTTTCTTTCATATAAATCTTCACAATCCTGGAAAAAAGTAACTAAATTATTACTCACCTCCATTGTACAGTGTTACAGTTTGGATGTGAGGTGATCCCCAACAGGTCACATGTGAGACAATACAAGAAGGAGAAATGATGGGGATATAGCCTTGGCCTAATCAGTGAATTAATCTCTGATTGGATTAACTGAAGTGGTAGGGTGTGACTGGGGGAGATGGGAATTGAGGCATGACTTTGGGGTATATATTTGTATCTGGCGATTAGAGACTCTCTCTGCTTCTTGATCACCGTGAGCTACTTCCCTCTGCCATACACTCTGCCATGATGTCCAGCCTTATCTCAAGCCCCAAGAAACGCAGCCAGCCTTCTATAGACTAAGACCTCTGAATCTGTGAGCCCTCAAATAAACTCTTCCTCCTCTACAGTTGTTCTGGACAGATCCTCTACTCACAACAGCGAAAAAGCTGACTAAAACATACAATAGATACAGTAAATTTCTCTAAATTTTTCCATGGTCATTCTAGAAGTCACAAATTTATTTCTAAATCTTTCTCATTCTTTCTTTTTTAACATCACTAGTTCCACTTTAATTCAGTTCAAAATACTTCCTAAATGTGTTATCCATTTCAAAGTTAAAGTTAATATTGCATGTTGCTAAAAAAAATCTCCATTTTTAGGCCGTTTTTAATTTTATTTGCATACATAAACTCTAGACTCACATATTCACATTAACAGTGTATTAGAAATCTATTATTCAACCAAGAACATAAAAACCTTTATAAATTATTTTTAAGACATAGATTCTTTCAAGTGACAGAAATTTACATCCCTGTACTTTCAAATAGATAAGAAAATGAGTATTGACCATATCTATAAAAATGACTAATTGATAGAGAAAAGGGAAATTGCATGGAAATGGAAGGGAGACCCTCACTGTTATACAAAATTACATATAAGAGGTTATGAGGGGAATGGGGAAAAAAAAAAAACAAGGGGGAGAAATGAATTACAGTAGATGGGGTAGAGAGAGAAGATGGGAGGGGAGGGGATGGGGGATAGTAGAGGATAGGAAAGGCAGCAGAATACAACAGACACTAGTATAGCAATATGTAAAAATGTGGATGTGTAACCGATGTGATGCTGCAATCTGTATACGGGGTAAAAATGGGAGTTCATAACCCACTTGAATCTAATGTATGAAATATGATATGTCAAGAGTTTTGTAATGTTTTGAACAACCAATAAAAAAAAATAAAACTATGAAAAAAAAAAGTTTACAGTTCCATGATGGGACTAATTTTTTAGGAGTTTTTAGCTCCTCCTCAATAAAAGAGGATTCTCTGCATTTCTATTTTATATTCACATCTGAACAATATGTGAACAATATACAGTAACTTCTCTGTATGTTTTATAATTGTTTTAATATTAAACAAATTAGAAACAAAAAAAATGACTAATTGACTAAACCAACAAAGTTATGAAAACATTTCAAGAATTAATCATTAGTTGCTATGTTAGAGTTTGGTTAGAATCAATTCCTGACTTTAAGGCTTACAATCTAATTAGGTAACATAGATAAAACATAATGGCAGGGCTGGGGATATAGCTCAATTGGTAGAGTGCTTGCCTCAAATGCACAAGTCCCTGAATTCAATCCCCAGCACCACAAAACACACACACACACACACACACACACACAGGCAAAAGAAACAGAACAAAAGGATAAAGAATATTAACTAAGTAGCAATCAACTTAAGTCTGACATCTTTCTTCAGGAGTAAAAGAATATTATAGAAAATAAAATTCTGACATATACAAAACAGACCTTACATAAAGTACTATCAAAGAACATCTGGGGGCCAGGGTTGTGGCTCAGTGATAGAGCACTTGCTTGGCATGTGTGAAGCCCTGGGTTTGATTCTCAGCACTCCATATAAATAAATAAATAAATAAATAAATAAATAAATAAATAAATAAATAAATAAAATAAAGGCCCACTGACAACTAAAAAAAAAAAGAACATCTGGAAACATGACAAAGAAGGAAATGAAAATAAAGTCTAACTATATTTATCTTAAATATTATAAATTAACCAGTTATTTTGTGTACACACAGTGCAGTAGGCTTTTTTCTTTATATAGATATAAAGGCTTGCCAGCACATAAATTCAATATGAAATTAATCATGGTCAACATGTTCTGATCAGCAACTTGATCTATTAACTTGATAAAGGACAATGACTTTCCTAGCTATCTAACAAATGAATGCCATTGATTCTTCATATATTGCTATCTGTGTGAATTTAAGATTCTCTGTACATGTATTTCAGCATAAATTCTCTACGGAAAAGTTCAGATTAAATGAAAAGACATATTACCCAACTATCTATCTATCCTTAAAATTATTCTCCCCAAGCTACCCCACATAAAACCAGTACCTGAATACAATTGTACCAAAAAAGAAAACAAGAAACAAAAAAGATATTCTTAAGTATGTAATAAATAAACATACAGTAACACAGTATCCCTTCTGATTATCTTCCCTCTCAATTCTAGACTATGATATGGTAATTAAAGTCAAATATTTGTAAGATCACTTCTTTTCATCATCCTTATCAGACTAAAAATTGCTTTACACTTTTATTTTAGATTATCTAAATATGGATAAACACTAATATACAAATACTGGTCAGATAACTTATTTTAAAATTATTTAAGGAATCTAATAGTTTAGTGAAGTTTAACCTTGAAACCTTAATGATTCACTAAACAAATACCAAATACATGTTACATGCAGATCAGAACTCCCTATATTTTTTATTTCCTCTCCATTAATGTTCATTCTTATCAAATATCAGTACAACATAGCATTTCCTTATTCTAATCACAATATGTACAATATAGTGAAACAAAATTCACTGAATATAAACTTACTTTTCAGTAAAATCTTTACTTCTCCATTCTCTTTCTTGATCTCACTCATTACTTTATGCTTCTTTTTTTCTCTCTCTTTTTCTTTGTCTCTCTCTTTAATTTTGTCTTTGATTTTATCTGAAAGACAAAATAAAAGAAACAGTTAAACTATTAAAACTTAATTTTTTCCTCCATGAAATATGGTTCAATGTCTGGAATTGCAATACACAATAAAATGAGAAAAAAAAAATGTGTCTTTTTCTTCCCATTAGGCTTTGGGAACTTTTCTCAATTTACTTTCTTATTGAATATGTAATATATAATGTCAAAATTTATCATTTTACATTTCCATTAATTTCATGTCAGCCAAAATACATGAATTTCAAATCACTTTAAATAACTGGCTATCTTTAATTGAACAGAAAGCTACAGTACAGAAGTGCTAGCTCTGAAATTGGGCTTATCTGTTTTGGTTAACATAACATTGGAAAAATTACTCAACATAAATTTCATAATCCATAAGATGGTGGTAGATTCTTTCCTCATAGGGTTATAATAAGGATTAAACCAAAAAAGACATCAAATAACTACAGAAAGCTTGGCATTTATATGAATAGATGTTAGTTCATTTACCATATTACCTTTCAAGAATACAACTGATAGGGATCACTAGAAAAATTATGATATTGAAAGATACAGCATAAGAATCACTCAATGATCAACTTTCTAAAACTTAAGCTTATAAAATATATGATATCCTATTAATCTTGTTTGTTCAAATCAATTTTCTATGAAACTAGCAGAAGATACAGAGAAGAATGTAAAAATAATAGTGACATAGTTCTTGACTTCAAAAAGTGTTTTTATTGATTACAAAGCCATGATGGAAAGACACACAAATGTAAAATATGCTCTATTTTAATAGAGTTTATGTAAGATACATGCATAATTCATAATCTCTTAAAAAATACTCCCTACTTTCCTTTCTATAAATATTACACTAATCTAGGTCCTAATCACTAATGATTAGATTACTATCTCAACCAGCACTGTCCAACAGAAATATAACACCCACCATATGTACATTTACAATTTCTAGTAGCCACATTAAAAATGTAAAAAGAAAATGGTAAAAATAATTTTAATATATCCAAGCATACCATAATTTCAAGTGCAACTGACATTCAAAAATTACTGAGGTATTTTACATTCTTTCTTCATAAATTTCAAAATCCAGTATGTATCAGATTACACGTATGATACATCCCAATTTGAACTAGCTCCACATGAAATGTTCAATAGCCACAAAAGACTAATGCCTACCAACCACATGAACAACCCACATCTAAACTACTTAAATAGCAAAATTCTCAAAAAATTAAATCCATGTGCCTTAATAAAAATACTTTTAAGCTTCAATAACTAAAATACAAATTAAAAGACAACAATATTTTTAGTTTTTTAGTATTTTTTAGTTTTTTTTTTTAGGTGGACACAATATCTTTATTTTATACTTATGTGGTGCTGAGAATCAAACCCAGTACCTCACGCATGCTAGGCGAGCGCGCTACCACTTGAGCCACATCCCCAGCCCGACAACAATATTTTTACCTATCATACTGACAAAACTTTTTTTTTAAAGTGGTAACACCTGTGAATCAACCAACACAGGTGTGTAAACTCAACAAACAAGCAATGATGAATGTAAAGAAAAGGGTTAGAGATGCAGCGTAAATAAGCTAGATAGATAGGCTCCTTGTCTGTTCACTTTTAAGTTAAATTCTAAACAGATTAGTCTATTCTTTTATTTTCCCCCTAGAGATACTGGCATTTTTTAATTGACACATAAAAACTGTACAGATTTATTAGTATACTATGTGATGTTTCAAAACATATACATTATATAATGTTCAAATCAAGGTAAGCATATCTACCTCTGTGATGTAAATATTCAAAATCCTTTCTTGATTTTTCTGAAATATACAGTATTACATCGTCATTATTGTCACCCACTGTACTTTAATAGAACACTAGAATTTATTTCTCCTGAGACACATCGCCCCGGTTGGGGGAGGGGCAGAGCCACCGCGCGCCTGCAAGGTAGGCGGACCTGCCACCCACCAGCAGAACAGGCCCAGCAACCCGCGGAGGGGCAGAGCCGCCCCAGCGCCTGCAAGGAAGGCAAACCTGCTACATCGATGTTCATAGCAGCACAATTCACAATAGCAAGACTGTGGAACCAACCTAGATGCCCTTCAATAGACGAATGGATAAAAAAAAAAAAAATGTGGCATTTATACACAATGGAGTATTACTCTGCATTAAAAAATGACAAAATCATAGAATTTGCAGGGAAATGGATGGCATTAGAACAGATTATGCTAAGTGAAGCTAGCCAATCCCTAAAAAACAAATGCTAAATGTTTTCTTTGATATAAGGAGAGTAACTAAGAACAGAGTTGGGAGGAAGAGCATGAGAAGAAGATTAACATTAAACAGGGGTGAGAGGTGGGAGGGAAAAGGAAAGAGAAGGGAAATTGTATGGAAATGGAAGGAGACCCTCATGGTTATACAAAATTACATACAAGAGGAAGTGAGGGGAAAGGGGAAAAAAAAAAAAACAAGGGGGAGAAATGAATTACAGTAGATGGGGTAGAGAGAGAAGATGGGAGGGGAGGGGATGGGGGATAGTAGAGGATAGGAAAGGCAGCAGAATACAACAGACACTAGTATAGCAATATGTAAAACAGTGGATGTGTAACCCATGTGATGCTGCAATCTGTATACGGGGTAAAAATGGGAGTTCATAACCCACTTGAATCAAAGTGTGAAATATGATATGTCAAGAACTATGTAATGTTTTGAACAACCAACAATAAAAATTAAAGGAAAAAAAAAAGAATTTATTTCTCCTAACTTAATCCCCACTGACCAACTTTTTCCCATCCTTCCAGTCTCTGATTACCAATATTCTACTCTCAACTTGTATGAAACGAGTGTTTTTAGATTCCACAAGATCATGCGAGACTTGTCTTTCTTCACCCAGCTTATTTCACGTAACATACTATCTTTCATTTCCATCCAAGTTGTCACAAATAACAGAATTTGATCCTTTCTTATGACTAGCACTCCAGTACATATGCATCACATTTTCTTTATCCATTCATCAACTGATAGACACTTAGCTGAGTTCCTTATATATACTAGATATTAACCCCTTGCCATATGTATAGTTTACAAATACTTTCTCCCATTATGTAGGGTGTTCCTCCACTTGATTGTTTCCTTCATTCTTTCATTTCTGATTAGTTTGCTACTATTACTTTCAGAGATTTAAAGTCCTTGAATTCCTGTCATTGGTTGCCATAAAGGAATAAAATTAGTCCAAATGGCTGGAGGTCAGACACAGATATAAATTAACATTTCTCAACAAACATTTTTAAAATAAGCTATTTATATCATTGAAAAGAACTGAGGAAAACAGTTCTCTAAAATACTTCCTCATTTCTCTGTCCAATCATCCAGGTTATTAATCTGTGTTATTTCAATAACTATTAAACCTTTTAAAATTTATTCAAGTATAATATACAAATATAAAAATGTATGCATGTTACAGCTCAATATTCACAAAAATAAACACACTTGTGAAACAGCACCACAGAATCCCTTCGTTCTCTTTCTACTCTTCAAGTAACACTCCTGCAGATAACAACAATCATGACTTTTAACCACATACATTAAAATAACTAGACTTTTAATGTCATATATTCATTCATATGTTCATATTCGTAGAGTCTATCACAATCACAAAATATAAATATTTTTCAGAAAAAAAACTAAGTTCTCAGGAAATAAAACTGCAATACAGTGTGACTCCATTATTTTTAAAATTTACAAATTAATACACATATACTCAGAATACAGAATGAAAGATAATAGCCCAAATTATTCAAAGTCGTCATCTTTAGCTGGTACACAATTTCTAAGTTTCTGATTGAGCATATATTAGTTTTTGTTTATTCTAATTAGGTATATATGACAGCAGAATGTATATTGACTCATTATACACAACTTTTCATTTCTGATTGTACACGATGCAGTGTCGTACCATATGTGCAGTCATACATGTACCTAGAGTAATGATGTCCATCCTATTCCACCATCTTTCCTGCCCCCATACCCCCTCTTCTCCCCTCCCTCCCGCTTGCCCAATTAAAGTTCCTCCATTTTTCCCAGCCCACATGTCCGTGCATCATGGATCAGCATCCACTTATCAGAGAGAACATTTGGCCTTTGGTTTTATGGAACTGGCTTACTTTGCTTAGCATGATATTCTCCAACTCCATCCATTTATCTGCAAATGCTATAATTTTATTCTCTTTTAATGCTGAGTAATAGTCCATTCTGTACATATACCATAGTTTCTTTATCCATTCATTTATTGAAGGGCATCTAGGTTGGTTCCACAGTTTAGCTACTGTGAATTGAGCTGCTATAAACACTGATGTGGCTGTTACTATAGTATGCTAATTTTAAGTCCTTTGGGTATAGACCAAGGAGTGGGATAGTTAGGTCAAATGGTGGTTCCATTCCAAGTTTTCTAAGGAATCTCCATACTGCTTCCAGATTGGTTACACCTATTTGCATTCCTACCAGCAATGTATCGATGTGCCTTTCCCCCACATCCTCCTTGTATTCTTGACAACTGCATTCTGACTGGCATGAGACAAAAATCTTAGAATAGTTTTGATTTGCATTTCTCTAATTACTAGAGATGTTGAACATTTTCTCATATTATTTGTTGATTGACTGTATATCTTATTGTGAGAAGTGTCTGTTCAGCTTCTTAGTCCATCTATTGATTGGGTTGTTTGGTTTATTTTGGGGTTAAGTTTTTTGAGTTCTTTATATAGTCTGGAGATTAGTGCTCTGACAGTACATATCAGTTTCATAACACAAGAAAAAGAGTTTTAGAATATGCATTTGAGTATGACATTAAATAGTTCAAGTAAAGATAAGCTGAAGATATGATATCATTATATGAAAAATTTATATAGAAATAAAAACAATGACATAGCCAAGCCAAGAGGGTTACCAATGACATAAGTGCAGTTGGTGATTCCCCACACCCCAAACCT